AGCAATAGATTGCTAATACCCATACTAAAGTATGAGTAATCATGACTCCAAAAGCAGCGCCAGATCACAAACCTCAGTGCAGTTTCTGTAAGAAGATGTACATTGAAGAACTTTTTCTTGCACTTTCAGGGGCTTAGTGTAAAAGGAAGAGTATGGCCCAAGGAAACAGATGGAAAAACATTTCTGACAGCTTAAGTGCACTTAATTATTTGTAGGCGAAGCATTCTGCTATCAGCATTGATTTGCTGTATTTGAAACTGAAACAGTCATAGCAGCAACAAATTTTATTCAGCATTGCTGCAATTACCTGACTATAAATAGGACAGAGCAACACCTTGCCAACAGGGCTGCCTTTTCATCACTTCCAGGAACAGGCAGCAACAGGCCAGCACACGGTGTAGGTACCCCTTTGGTAAGCAGCTCATTCAGGTCTCATCCTCTCACAGTTTGTTTTTCCATCTCCTACCTTTTCCCTTTAAGCAGATTCAACAGTTATGAAAAAAAAAAGAGTATCATATGTATGGAAAGATTTCACAGGCTAGGTATCACCATTCTCACTTTACAGATGGTGCAAATGAGGAAAATGAATACTCATTTAAACATGTGCTCATTGCACACCTGTTCAAAGGAGCAAAGGAAGATGACATGTTTTCTTATGACTTTTGTGGGGTTTATCTGTATCACCAGAAGATGGATATGAGAGAAGAAAACCGCTGCTCCTAAGTAATAACATTCACCCTTCCAGGAAAAGAGGCAGGAAGGGAGCAGGCTTGGGGAGGAAATCTCTAGCCTCCACCAACCAACAAGGAGGAACTGGAGACAAAAGGGATAGCATAGATTATTTCTCCCTTACAAGTGTGACATGGGGATGAGACTGCCTTGTGACAAAAGATCACAGCATTTTTTCTGTTCTTCACCAACAGCTATGCAGTTCTTTACTTCCCTTGCTTTGGTCAAAGTATGCCTAGCTTGTGTTTAGCCAGATACACGGCCAGGGATTAAGAGGGCAACAGGTATCTTGTATCCCTCATTGTTCCTTCCTCTATTTGTGCCTCTTCTCTTATAATATGGCTGGCAAGTCTAACAGAGAAAACGTCAAATCTGGACTTGAGAACACCCACTACACGTGGGTACAACTGTTCGGAGGCCAGAGCACACAGCCACAACATAGAAGAATCCAGGGTAAATTTCTGGACTGTTTACAGTAATCCTACACTTCCTGTTATGTAACACAGCTATTTGACTTTAGAAAAAAAACTTTTGGGTTTTTTCTACCCTTTGGCAAATCCAGGACACAACCCTGTCATTGTAAGACAATTACTAATTTGAATACCAGTGTGAATATGGTACCTGCCACTACAGCAGGTAATGGTTTAGCACTGAACTGCAGCCAACCAGTGGTAGTCTGTTGGAGTAACCCAGCAAGATACTGCAGCTCACCTGGCTAACAGCACAGAGCAAGGAACATGCTGAGGGCTGTATCTTACTCTGTTGTCTGTGAGGTCCACAGCGTTAGTAGCTTCTTGATACTGCCAGACACCTTAGAAGATCTCATTACTCCTGAGTTCTGGTTGGAGATACATGTCTTACATTAAACACTTCCTCCAATTAATGCTTTGGCCAGTTTCATAAATTATTTTTGCTCAGAAGAAGCTTCATTGAATTCAATCAAAGGGAAAGTATCTCATATTAAACAATTTTTTCCATTGACTTTATATTAAGATTCTTCTTGAAGAGAAACAAAATGCTATTGAGAGCAGTGGGATTATTTTTTTGAATAAGGATTATTGGTAAGAACTGAGAATGTTAACTTTCATCGTCCATTCATAGTAAGGACTAGTTACTCTCCAGAATACTGTGAACAGCTGTGATCATCCACTCTTAAGAAAGATTAATTTGAGTGGAAAGACAACAGAGAAATCCTTTAAAGAAGACATGTAGAATGGAGAGCTTTTCTATGGGAGGATGGAAAAAGAGACGGTTCACTTCTAACAGAATGGAGGCTGAAAAGGACTGCTCTCTCTACGTATCAAGGTCTTAAGCAGCATGAGATAAAGTGTATTTAGGCTAATGTTGGCTCAAAAGCAAGTGGATAAATTATCCAAGAACGAATTTACTCTGGAAATGCAGAAAAACTTTCTAGTATCAGAGCAGTGAGATACTGGAAACACTTGCTTATTAGCAGTAGTGGGATCAAACAAACTGTTCTGCTTTCAAGTGGAGTTTGATAAGTATATTCACGAAGTTGCCTGAAATAGAGAACTTGTTTTAACTGACCTAGCACATCCATTCAAGCATTATTCCCATGAAGTCACCTGAAGCTACATTCAGAAGACCTACGTATGTAAGCACCTCTTGTGTAAAGTCAAGAATTAGATGCCAATGCCAGTTACAAAAACTAACAGAGCTTCTGCCCAGCTCTGTCGGCAAGCAATTGACCCGCTGGCAGTCTAGCTCATGGCTAAATCTCAGGATTTTAAAATTGTGTGTTTTCAGGCAAGATGTGATCATACTTTCACCCATCCAGCCTCACAAAAAAATTGCAGGCCTTTTGATGAAACTGAGTTTAAAGTGCATATCTGGACGATAAGAAACCTGAATTAAATTTTTTCCACCTCCTATGCATCCTGGGAGATGCCTGGAAGACACAGTCACCTGCTCAGAGTTGAGAGCTTCATGAGATAGCAAGATACCTAGAAGTTATTCACTGTGATTTGCTCTTGTGAATCTAGTTCCTATACTTCTGTAGAACTTCTGTAGATGCTAGGATGTAGAGAAGGAATTCAGTTACAGACAATCATCAGCTTTTTATGGGCTGTGCATTAATTATACCATGGCAGCAGAGCTTTATCGGTAAGCTCTGTGATGACCCAGCAAAGCTTCTGATCTCAAGCATGCTCCAAGCGAATACATATATATTGATTGCAGGGTCAGTATGATTTCAAGAGCAGTTTAGCCACTTCTGTAGTGTGTGCAATCCAAATAACGAACCATCAGAGCACAAATTAGCTTCCCAAGTAACCTGATTTGGCAGCCGTGTTGTGTGCTTCTGGAACTGGGAATGCTATGTTGTAAGAAGTTAAACTACATCCAGGAAGACCTACTGGCTATGTCTGTACTTGTAAATTAAAGAACGTCAGCACTTGGGACATCTTGATCATCTAAATATTGTTAGAATGACCCCTAGTATAATTTTTCTGCAGGCCAGCTATCATTCTTCCAAGCAATGCCCAGGCATGACTTGGGAGTTGGCATGGTCCAGGAGCAGACAGTTTGCAGGCAGCAACTGTGCTTTGCAGGCTAACAGGATTTAATTTTGCTAACATAGCCAGCTAAAACCAGAACACATGCAGTAACTCCAGCTCAATTTGGACCTTACCAGGCATGAGACGACTCCATTCAGCCATTGATTCTGCACCATGCTCTGAAACAGGGTATGTTAGCACTGGGGCGGTACTGAATGCAGGGCTGCATTTCTCTGGCTGAAGTCCCAGACTAAAAAGTCCTCAGAGTTTGGTACAGGAACAATCTACTAGCTCTCAATAGACAGACCAAATCTGGCAGGGTCAACAATGAGCTAGTGCTAACAAGACCAGCTGTAACCAAGCACTGTTCTCTGCAGCATCTCTAGTAGCAACATACCTTATTAGCTCGTTCACAATGCAAGATCCAAGTGGTCTCTGTGCATGCACTGGTGTTAGTCTTGATCTTACAGGCTTGCCTACTACCCAGAGCACCAGTGGCTGCACTGAAATACCTTAGTGACTTTGAGGGAACCAGCCCTGGTCCACTAGGCTCAGCGCTGAAATATATTTAGCAGCTGTTCTGGACACTTGATGCCTTTCACCTGTCCATCAAACAGATTAAGCTAAAATATAAATAGATTGTGAGTATTTATACAGATGTGTATTTGTATATACATATATATATATAAAGTTATACAGCCCATATATATGAATTTAAATGAGAATTATATGATAAAATCTAAAAACTTTTAAATTATACAAAACTTAACATCTTTCAATACGAACCCCGTACAAGACAAAAACACTTTGTATATTTGTTTCAGCTTAAATTTGACAGCAGAAATAAAGCTGCAAAACAGAATTCCAGACCACGATTAGCTGGTCCAGTATTTTGTTACCCTGCATTGTGATGAATATAATTGCTATGTTACAATCCTCCTTAATATATGTAGCTTTTACCTTTTTTTTTTGCAGTCAGAGGAACACTATTCTGATAAGTGCTTGGCATGATTAGGTCAAACTCAATGTATTTATACATATCACTGTATGTTATTGGTGCATCACAAATGAAGTACAGAAATATAGTGGACGTTCACCTACAGAAATAGCATATCATTAGAAAACAGAACACTGCAACTGCAAATTCCTTTGTTATTGTTGTTATGGGTGGAAAAAAAAAAAAACACTGAAGCAATTCCACAAGACCCGACATCCCGGTTTGATTAGTGTCATGTGAACATCCCTGCAGAACAGTCACACATCTTATCTGAACTCCAGACGGTCCTCATTTTCAGAATGTGTGGTATAGCTGTTCTTTCTGTGTAATATGATCTTGCCCTCTGCTTCCTCAGTCCAAGATAGTCATTAAGAAAAGAAACTTTGCTCCCTGGAAGACAGTAGGGACTAGAGTTTATAATGAATCCACAAAACCAAGCAGCATTATCCCTGGGAGGTGAATAGTTGTGTAAGTTGGCCCACCTTGTTGCATTTTTTTGTTTGTTTTGTTTGGGTTTTGAAAGTCATTTACTGCAACACATTGAGAAACAGGACATAAACACAGTTAACTCGTCCATTCTCCCATGGTATTCTGCTTCTTCTTGCTGGGTCTCTCTTTCTCATACTCTATTTACTTCTTGGGTTCAAAGTTTTCCTCTCTTTGCTTTTTTTTTTTTTTTTTAATCATGCTTCACTTGGCTCACTCATTCTTGCACCTCCAGCCTTTGTTGTTTTCAGTCTTTAATGATGATCTTTCAGTTAAGAGCTCACCAAAGTGTAGATCATGCTGAATGTAAAAGAAAGACACAATATGAAAGTATCCTTTTGAAGCATACAGAGCACTTTTATTTTTATAACCCTTTACTGTCTGTTCCTCAGGTCTGACTGTAATGGCCTGTGCTTTCCTTTGCATTCTTTCTATCTCTCTAAAGCATCTTAATTATGGTGTATTCAAGATGGGTATCAAAAAGCACTCAAGAAATAACAAATTCATTATCAACATCCTACTGCACCACAAGCTGTGTTTGAGCTTATTAAAGTGCAGTCTGATGTCTGAATTTGAACAGTGAAGAAACAAAACCATTTTGCTTTAGTGTGTTTGATCTTTAAAACTTCAACCAGCAACTCTCAGCAGGGCAGGCAAGGTTTCCCATGAAACTGCATTATTTTGTTTCCTTTGGAAAAAACTCCATGCAGTAGAAGACACATAAAATGCAGACACCAGCTGGAGTGAATATTAAATGCATATTAAATGCAACTCTGAAAAGTGAAGAAATCCCAGTATATTGCCACAGCTCCATTTTACAGCAATTCGAATTCTGACAATACCCAGGAAAGCACAGCAAAACTGAATGTAATTAATACTATTTCATTTAGCACTGGGGCAGTGGATTTTGGCTTATGGCCACATTTTAGAATGAAGGAAACAGGGCTCAGAGGAAGCTGCACAACAGCAGACTCCCAGCAGAAATGCTAGACCACACTACACAGCTGACTTTGACAGGGTCTTTTAGCCAACACAAAAATGTGGGGTTAAAAATGCTTCTGTCTCCAGCCATGCTTTGCCATCTCTCCTTGCACTACCAACAGGGCTTGTCTAGCGTAACTGCCATGCTTTCCACTCTTGCCCCCATAAAAAGGGTGGGCAAAGGCACTCAGCCCAAACACACAAAGCTACTGGATGCTAAACTCCTGCTCAGATTCTCATGCCCCATCCATCTCAGTGTGAGTTAGGCACCTACCAGCTTCTCTGAGTCTGAGCCCTTCTAGTTTCTTTCTCTCTCTCCTGTAGGCAGACACAGGCACATACACATGCACATGTGGACAGAAAACTTTGTTGTCCATAATATTTAAAAGTAATATTGAGAAACAACAACCTGCAGCAATGACTCCTCAAGATATGGGGAACAACAGAACAGATAATGTACCAGTGATCAAAGGCGAAATAACATTTATCTCCTTCCACTAGCGTACAAACCTGCCTTACAGAGGGATTACTGCATGCAAGACTGGCTTGAAGAGGCACTGTATGCAAATATATCATGGAAGAAGGAGTAGAAGGCAGGCATCATAAAACAACACCTCCATTTAAAGTGTGTTAACCTTTGTTGTCAAGTAGTTTTATGGTGTGATTACAGGGGCAACTAAAAGCACAGGGATTCTGCCAAGGCCTTACCTTAAGTATGATCCTCACATATTCTTGCACTGGGCATTTGTGACTGTGCACTAAGGACATCTGACAGCTGAAAGGGGCAGGGGGGACAACACACAACTGGGCTACATATAACACACAAATGGGGTACATATCTTCAAGAATGTACTTAAGTTAGGGATTTGGACCATGCACAGGCTTACTCTGTAATGAAAGGGAGGCTGTAGGAATGACTACAGGCATGATGCACCCCATGTTCCTACCCACCATCTACCTACCCATTTACTTACCATCTTGAGCATCACTACACCAATAGATGTAGTATTTTTCTTATGATTCTCTTGAATCATAAGAACATTATAATTTTTATCTGATGTAATGTCAGTATCAAAACACTTGCTATTTCACCCGTCCTAACAGACTATGCAGACAAGCAAAAATTTTTTCCTTGGGTTGGCCCTGGGGCCTGGCTCAGGCCTTAGATACAACACTTAATACTCTGTACTGAGGTGTCAGCAGATATAAGCACATGCTGTTTAAGGGGGCATGCTTCCCTGAATCAAGATCAGAAGCAAGTTTTAAAAGACTAAGGAAATGAGCAATTGGTTCCAGTCATTCCTAAATACAATTTGGCATGTTAAATGAAAAGCAGCTACTATTTCCGTGAAATGACCAGACTTACCAGTACAGATAGTAGAAGAAGGAAAGGAGATAGAAAGCTAGCTTACACCAGGCCTCTTTTTGACAGTAACTCAAGGTATCTGCATTCATGACTGCAGGTGGATCATATGCTAGCTCTGAACTATCTGCTGGGCAACGAAAATACCTGAAAGAGCAGGAGAAGACATGTAAAATGACTCTGTAACATTCTGCATTAAGTATGTGCGGATATACACTCTCCTGATCACCAGCTCAGAAGACAACCATCTTCCACGATACAGGAGGAATTTCCCTCTCTTTTTCAAGCCTCTATTTCTGGATGTTGTTAAAATCAGGTCTAAGCATACCGTTCTCATAGAACCAAGCAATTCATGAATGTGGACTTTCTGTGCTCTATTAATTCTTTAGATCGAAACATTCCCCCTTCCTATATAGTTACTTCTGGCTTACTCACTAACAACTTAAATACTGTGAGTGACAATATGTGGTGGCTTGTGATCACAGCATGGAGGAAGGATTACTGGGCTTTCACTACATCTACACAATTGATTTCAGACATGATGAAAAGTGACAGTTTCAATCAACTAATAGCTCAGTTCCTTCAACTCTAGAAAGGAAAAAAGTCAATATGGAGTAACATAAGATCTGGCTGACTAATGTTTTCTACATGTAGCATTGCTCAAAAAACTATCATCCAAATCATTTTAATTGGAAAATGTTTTTCTTCTTACATAGGAGAAATTTCTAATTATTCTCAGCAATGACTGGACGCTTGAGAAAATCCCAACAAAGGAACTTTTTTGGCAAATGAGCTTTTGTCTCGGTTACTTTGCAGTAAAAAGCAAAAGCAAACCAAAAAAGAAGCCCTCAACGAAGTTAATGAACTGCTTTAAGATCGGCACGAATCAGATGAAATATTGTTATTTCTGTTGCTTTGAAATAGTAATGTAACCACTGAACGTTGCTGGGATTGCTTATAGATAGATAGATAGGTAGATATAAAAACCCCATACAAGTCGCCAGCAGCAAACTTTGAAAGTAAATGTTCTCATAATAACCTCGCCTTCCTCCTTTCCAATATTAGTCATATCCACTTATAATCTCTAAGAACACTGCAAATTATTTTACAGAGACCACAAGTGAAACCTTGCTTAATTATCTTCATTGGGATGAAGATATTACACAGTATCTTCCCATGGTTTTGTGCAGAACTTTCACAATGAACCCAAACCTGCCTGTGGTTAAAATAGCAGAAAATACAGAGTAATTATAGCAAAACATATGGAGAACCATGGAAACAAAGAAAATCAAAAGTTCTCTCTAAAGGTTGATATCATTATTTAGAGTCTGATCATTTTCACCTTGGACATAAAATACAATTTATTTTTCTAACTTTTAAAACCAGTACTATTGTCACACTTTGGTTATTAACCTTTAGTAAAACAGTACTATAAAACATTATTTTTATTGCACCCAACCAACAGGCAGAAAAGCACTCGTAGCTGCACTCCATTTAGCTTTCTGAGAACTATACTGTGACTCTAACTTCTGAATAATACACTTTATCATATGCCTCTGCATTACTTCCAGCCTTTTGCAGAAAATAGTGTAAAAAAGCTACTACTTTTTAGTTCCTGGTTGAGATAATGGTTTTGCCTTCTTTACAGAATTATTCTTCAAGCTACTTCACAACAGGAGCTATCTGCTGCCATATGTATCTTTGTAACACAAAGAGACCCTGACAGACAAAAATCATCTGTGCAATCTTTTACAAACATTGTGGAAATGCAAAACTAGCGAAGACTCCAGACTGGCAACCACAAAAACTGACGCCTCCTGGTTATCTTCAGAGGCAACAGAAGGCTGATCCTCCCCTAGAATGCAGAGGAAGATGCAGCAGCAGCAGCTGCACTGCCTGTCCAGAAAACATTAAGGCTGCTCAACAGCAGGTCTTACACGATCAACTCAAAGCCCCTCAGTGAATATAAACACATAGCAGAGACCCAGAGCGGAAACACTCCCCACTTTTTCACATGGGCAGGGTGAAGATAACAGCTTTTCATCTACTGCAATCCCGACTCCGAGGGTCTCTAAGAGAGACTTCTCTTGCAGAACAGAAATTCTCTACTGTATAGCAAGAAACAACTTATTTTATACTGGAAAAAAAAAAAAAAGCATAAAGCTGCCAAAGAAGATAAGAAGCAAAATTCTGTCAACCTGCCCAGTCTCTATTTCACAATTCCAATGGAAAGGTTTCCTTGCTGGGGCTGAATGAATAGGTCCAAGATCATTCAGATATGAACTGCCTTACAGCTCCCTATCTGTGAAGTATTTAGAGCCTCATCAAATTCCACTGTCAGATTCCAGCCTATTTCATTCCCAAGTTTTCATTCAGTTGTGGTGAGCATATCCTGATACCCTTTGGAATGTTAATTTAAGTTAGTAACTGAAAGCCACATTTATATTATTATTTGTTTTCTTTACCCATCCTAAACATTCATGAAAAATATTTACTTTTTCTCTGGAAACATAAGTTTCAGCTGCTTATAGGCAAAAGCTTCTAGGCAAAAGATATTCAGCCATACTCCTATCACTGCACTTCATAGTTCATACAACCTGCACGTGTGCCAAGTTGGCAAATAAGGCTAAACAAGCAGTGAGCATATAAAAGACGGGCTTACCTCCAGAAGTGATAAAAAAGCAAAGGAACGTTTAACCCCAGTGTGAGCCACTCTTGAGCGCACAAAAACATTATGCAGAAAAGACTATGGATAGAGTACTCCGGCAACACCAGCTAAAAAGAAAGGAACAGGAATAACAGATGTCAGTAAAATACCTCTCTGATTTTAGTCACCTAAGCAGTTTTTCAGAAAACAAACCATCTCTGCAAGTCTCCTGTGTGTCTGTCTGTCCCTAGACATACCTCAGTTGACAGACAGCTTGGTTAGGAGCAATGAGCACAAGATGCAGCGCCAGGTTTGTCCAGGTTCTAACCATGGCTGTACTCCAGGGGCTTGTTGAGAGGCACAGGACAAATTATTTACTGTCTTAGCCAGTGCTCCAGATTTCTGTCTACAAAATGTAAATTATATTACTGCCTCCCTCACAGAAGCACTGTGAGACTAAATGAATGCCTGTAAAAGAGTTCTTAAGGAAGTAAGTTTCATTACTGATGCATTCAGAAAGGAAATAATAAAGCTATTACCGAAGCTTCACTTCTATATTGGAGGAGCATCCTTGGAAAAAGGCTGCTTCTACCATTTTGATATGTTACATACACCCTAAAGAGATCAAATCCATTACTCAGTGTTGCGAGCTAAAACCCACTAAGACAGGAAACTCACTTCCTTAGTAAATCTATGGCTCCCCACACTACTTGTTTCAGACCCAAAATGATTCTTTCTATTAAAAGAGAAAGTGAGTGGGCAGCTGGCAGAAACAGAAATTTACGTGATGTTGATTCAGAGTAGTTATTTCTAAAGGCATTTTGCTTTTTTCACTGCTTTCCCATTTCTTAGCTGTCTTTCCTCTCTGGTTTTCTTCCAATGCCTTTTGTCAGAAATCTCTATTTCTCTTCTTCATTCAAGTCATAGAAGAGATTAATTTCCAGCAGTACATATTTCTCGAAGCTAGACAATCCCTTACACAGTTCACCTGCATCCCTTGCTGCATCTTGGAGCTACATCAACCAAAGTTAAATCACAAAAAGCCTTTGAGGGGCTTCTTTTGATGCAAATTCATTTTCATCTGTCAAATAATTAGTGAGCCCTATTTTTTTGAAGCGATGTAAAACCTACTAATACAGTTATTCCCAATGTCTACCTACTCCCATACAGCTGTGCTGCAATGAATTCCATCTTCTTGGTTCTAGGAGTCTTTCCACCTCACAGGGAATATTTTTCTTTTTACTGTCATTTAACTTCGCTACTTAAAGTAGTTAACACATTTGGATACTGTTGTGTCTATGCCTTCAACTTAAACATCCTCAAAAGCTTATCTTATGTGGATGACAAATCATAATACAACTATATAGTTCTGATTCCAGATGGTAGTTATTTATCACTGCTGGATTATTTTTTTTTTTTCATTTTTAGAATGTGATTTACAACATGACTATAACCTTTCCCCAAAGAATGATTCATCTTCATCACAAATTGCAGACAAGAAATGTCTTCATGATGTATGACTACCCACTAAACATTACAACACTTAAAAGCATATTACATTCATTATCACATCTTTGATTTCTGATTCCAACACAATCCACAAACTTATCAAGAACACAACCCTAGTGCCTGATCAGTGGGCTGGCTGGTAACAACAGGGAAGGAAACCCATGGTGAAAATTTATGCAGTGCACAAAAAACAAAACAAAACAAAAAATCTGCTGTGAAGCTAGAAAGGAAACAAAGGGAGCAGTGGACTCTCAGAAACAGACTCACTTTCCAGTCACAGTTTCTGGTGTAAATTAGATCTACCTATGCTTTTGACAGAACAACAAATGGGTCATTTAGATCTCTTTACCCTTTCCTTGGAGTGATATTTTCTTGTGGACATAAATAAATAAAGGATCAGTGCTGATCACAGTTTCTGAGGAGAATTCATGCAAAGAAGCAAACAAAGCCCAGCCTGCAAAGCCAACTGCAGTTTATATTCAGGCGATTTACCTAAGAGACCAAATCTAAAAGGAGGCGAGAGAATTGAAAGCATGAAGTGTAGAAAGGTACTAACAGCAAGGCTTGTGAGGAAAAGCAAACTGAATAGCTGAATAACTAAATAACTAAAAAATAACATTCCCTCAGTTCTTGGCTGTAAGAATCATCCTGCAGTTTGACACAATGTCCTCTGAAACCAATGGAAACTGTCAATCAACTTTAGCAAACATGGGATTTGACTCTTGGAGAGAGGAAAGCAGTTTGAGAAACAAGCAGCAGTCAATCCTTGTTGTTTCTGCTGACATAGTCAACTGCAATAGTAACTTCTGTGATACAGACAGCTGTGCAACAGGAATTAAACTAACATCTGTAATTCATTTCTGGGAGAGCATATGAAGCTGTCAGATGGTAAACATGTTAGGATATAAACTATAATATAAACATGTTAGGATATAAACTATATATATATATATTTTTATATACACACACACACACACATATACAGGGCAACACCCTGATTCAGATAACAACCTCTGCTTTCTGACACTGCTCAAGATGAAGTCTCAAGATGGTTATGGAACACTGAGTTGAAGGAGAAACTGGCAAAGCAGCACAATTCTTAAGGGCTGCAACTTCGTCACTTTGAGTCCCAAGCTAATGAATGGCATTATAAATTTATCACCAGAAATTCTGCTGGCTGACATTTACTTGTGGAAAACCACAGGAAAGCTTGAAAAGAAAGTCAGCTTCCAGAGCAAAATTCTGCTGCTAATCAGAAACACCTTTTGCTATAACATAAGCAAGGGAAAGAAACTACTGTACCTTTTCTAAATTTTGCTCTGATGTGTATATTTAAGTAAATATCCACATCAGTAAACATTCAAAATCATTATTCCCAATCCATCATTTGCATTTAAAATGTAAAATCTTAGGTAGATATCATACTCATATCATTACCATCTCACCATAAATATACAATACATCCTCATACAAAGTAGTACAGGCATACCTGCACATGTAGGTAAATTCTTCCCCTGTAATTCCAAAGAAAATAAGGCAGGCTTTGCTGTGTATAGACATCTAGGTTTGGCTGAACTAAAGCATGGGAAAACAAGCACTGAAGCCAAGCACCTGTCAGCAGCAGCTTTGTGTTTACAGGAATACAAAGACCTCTGCAGACTGAAACTGCAGAAGGGCATCTCTCAGGAAGCTCAGTCCTAAATAATGTTATTGTTTCCTCTTTCCTAAATATATTCTGTTGTTCTTATACAAAAGGTAAACCCATCTTTTTTTGTCAGTACTTTTCCTCCTTATTCTGTTTATTACATATGGATACCTCCTTCTCAAATGTAATTTGCTTTTACAGAACATTGTATCATTTTCACATGGAATGACTCTTACAGTTTGTCTTGCCAGTGAACAGGGCATATAAAATACCTCACAGAAACCAAAACTGGGAAGATATTATAGCAGGAATAGTAATCTCCCTTCATCAGTGCTATTAAATTCTCATGCTTAGAAAATCAACTGTAACAAGTGCATCAGACTTTCCCAGTCACTGTTAAGCCACTGAAATGTCAAGACGTCATGCTTCTTTCCAGCACTTTGCTTAGGACCAATACTCCTGAGCGCTACACAATAACAGTAATTCTCACAGAATTGCTGTTTCTTCCCCACAAGACTCTGAGTCTACATCTCCATCTGTGCATGCCAGCCTCCGTACAGTAACCACAGATTTTACACCATACCCAGAAATTGCCAGCCATTAGACACTCTACCCTTCCCAGGGTTTCTGAGAGTCTTCATTACGCTGTTAGAGGCTGAAACAACTTCCCTTCTTAATGCCTGCCTTCTCCCACAGATGGCAGGAAAGAAACTGAAGAGAAATGGAGGTTGAACCTCCTTCACGTAACGTAAGAGCTCTGGTGATTACCCAAGCGGAAACAAGCTGTTCACCTTACAAACACACAAACCCTTTTCCATCCACCTAAAAGCAACAAGAAACTGAAAACACCACACATGCATGGAATCACTCCAGGGCCCCAAATTAGGCCTGATCTATGTGCATTCTGCTTTATCACAGTGGTTAATGCTGGTGCACCCACCTCCACTAAAAGGTAGCTGCAGCTTGTCACTATGGTGCTCGCTTTGCTGCTTTTTTCCATATTCCTTGCTAAAGCTGACATGTAGAATTTGTCCTCATTTCTAGCAGGGAAAGAGGGGATGGAGATGTACCCAAGGTTTTCAGAACACAAGAGTTATTTTAGTTACACTTTAAAGCCCTTAGAATAGCCCTAAAAATAGACTTGTGCATGTCTAAGTGGTGTAGCAGGTCGCTAACCATTTCCCCTTGGATTATGGGGGCTTCACTCTGCTCCCCCTCCCTGTCTTCCAGCTCAGGGGGCTGGGTACTCCGAGAACAACTGGTCTGACTATTAAAGACTGAGGCAAAGAAGGCATTAAGTACCTCAGCCTTTTCCTTGTCCTCTGTCACTGTGTTTCCCCCCACATCCAATAAAGGGTGGAGATTCTCCTTAGCCCTCCTTTTGTCACTAATGTATTTGTAGAAACATTTTTTGTTGTCTTTTACAGCAGTAGCTAGTTTAAGTGCCAGCTGGGCTTTGGCCCTTCTAATCCTCTCCCTGCATAACCTCACGACATCCTCGTACTCCTCCCGAGTTGCCTGCCCCTTCTTCCAAACTCTCCTTTTATTCCTGAGTTCCAGCTGAAGCTCTCTGCTCAGCCAGGCCAGTCTTCCCTGCCAGCTCATCTTTCAGCACATGGGGACGACCTGCTCCTGCACCTGTAAGATCTCCTTGTTGAAGAACGTCCAGCCTTCCTGGACTCCTTTGTGCTTCAGCACTGCCTCCCAAGGGACTCTGTCAACCAGGCTCCTGAACGGGTCAAAGTCTGCCCTCCGAAAGTCCAAGATAGCAGTTCTGCTGACCCCCCTCCTTACTTCTCCAAGAATTGAAAACTCTACCATTTCATGATCGCTATGCCCAAGACAGCCTCCAACCGTCGCATCACCTACCAGGCCTTCTCTGTTCACAAACAAGAGGTCCAGCGGGCGCCTTCCCTAGTTGGCTCCCTCACCAGCTGTGTCAGGACATTGTGAGACCAAAGGGAGACAATTATT